GCTTTGGAAAGAAAAGGGTCTGGCTCTCTAGTGAAGATGGGGCATCCAGACACAGCCAGGGAACTTCAGAGATAGAATCCAAGTAGGGCCCCTGTCTTCTCCACCGCCAGGAAGTTGTAAAATCCCTGTTAAGGAGGAGCCTGCTAGAGTAATACCTCCTTGTGCTCCCTTCCCAGCTTGCTGTGCTGCTTGCACACGCATGCACATGTACAGACACACTCATACACACGCACATGTACACACACATGCACACACACTTAAACACGTGCACACATGCACAGACACACGTACGCACATATACTCACATATCTGCACATGCGTGCACACATGACTCCAGCTTCTCTTGCACAAGTTTACCCCATTCCTACAGTGTCTGCCTAGAATTTAAAAAAATTACTTTTTGTCCCAACCCAGCATTTTCCTCATTTTTTTTCCAACAAAAAAATAACATAATTCTCTTAGATATGTGTAACTTTTTCCTTGAAGTGTTTCCTAATAATCTCTCAGAAAGCTTGTTGACTCAGTCGCTGCAGCCTCCCCCTCCCTGCCCTCCTGTGGTTTGCTTTGTGAGCATGTCTAGGATGCAGTTTAATCTTCAGGAAGTTTGCTTCCTACCCAGAGGTCCTCAGTAAAGTGAATTTCTAAAACGAAGCATCTTGTGAACAGTATGTCTGACAAGCCCTCATTTGGTTAAACTCTTTATGAATTTAATGTTGGATGCTTTTCCTTAAGAGGACATTCTTTGATTGCCACACTGCTGGCACTCAACTTATCTCCCTGAAATATACAGCTCTGTGTGATAGCTGACAGCGTTTGGAACTTGGATGCACTCAGGCTGTTGAACAGAGTAATAGGAAGTACAGGATCGGAGACTCCCTGGCCCTCTACCTGTCCAAAGCAGGTACATGTTCATGTTGGTTCGTTTTATCACACATATGTGCATTCATTTGCCATGTTTAGTGTAGGGCTAATACCTCTCCACTAGAGTTTCTTGTTGCCTTTCCTGCAAAAACTGTGCTTAATGCATCAACCATAATCCCAGAATCCATTATTACTCTAAATTAGAGCAAGAACAATATGCTTGTTGGCACTCTGAATGAACACCGCTGCGATTTGTTCCCAGTCTTTCATGGTTGTCTGGCAGTGAGAGAAAAATTTTAATCTATTCACTTTTATCAAATCTTGCTGTCTTTTCACATGGTATGTTAGCAGCTTATGCACTGTTTTATTAAATTACACAATTACACTAACAAACACAAATAGCAAAGGTAGTTTTGGAAAAACACACAAATCAGCTAGTTGTGAATGTTCCATGTGCTGGGGGTGTCAGTAAGTTTTAGGGGTGGATGGGTCATTTAATCGAGCAGGTCAGCTTCAATGAGGTCAGTTTCTACTCTACCCGACATGTGGAATCCACATTTTACAATCTTCCTAGGACCTCAGTTTCCTTGTGAATCCCCATCCTAGCCTCCAGCTGAGCAAGACGTGGTTCTTTTCTTTTGGCAAGTTAGTCTCCAAAAAGAGAAGAAACAACCTTGGATGCTGTGTTATGCACTAATAGTTTGTCTTTTTCTAACAATGTGCCAGAAAGAGGGAATTGGGAGAATTGTATGAAAATAGCATATTTTCTCAGGCACGACATTGCATAACATCAGAAAGCTGATACTTCATTCTCATGGTGAAGCATTTGGGTGTTTTCCACCAGTGCTGCTCTGGTTCCAGGGAATGAGTAACAATATTGATTGTGTCCACATGGCGCCTCCCTGCAGAGATCCATGGTCCCTCAGCCCTGCGAGGCTCTGCAGGAGTCCGTGAAGACGTCGTAAAGTTAGCCACGTCGTTGTGAGTGGCAGTGCCAAAGTGTATTGCATCTGTGCCTGTGGCAACATCTTTTCTCTGCTTTTCCTTTTTTTTTTTTAGTAGCTTCACCTCTGCTGCAGCTGGATCGTTGTAACTGATTTAATAGGAAGCTAAGGGTTTCGTTCCATTTCATCAAATGACATCTCTACTTTTCCAGGATTTAATTTCCTCTGTAAGTTCTTTAATAAATAAGTAAAAATAGTGAGGGGGAATAGATCAAGAAGGCTAAATAATATTTTTATGCTGTTAAAATAGAGACAAGCTGTATCTGATTAACCCTTATTGGGATCCCTCTTGACTCAATACCTTGAGTACTGTTTCACAGGTTTTTAACATAACTAGTAATTAGGTTTAGGTTTAGCTATGAGTGACAGAAAATCCAAAATGATAGTAGCTTAAACAAATTAGAATTTTATTTCTCTCTCATGTGTCGGTTCCAGAGATCGTGTGGTACCTCCTTGGTCATCAGGATGCCTGGCTCTTCTGTCTTGTTGCACCATCACCCTTAGATTGGAGCTTCTTCCTCATGGTCCAAGAGGGCTGCCCGGTTCTGGCAGTCATGTCTGCATTCCAGCTGCGGGGGTGGGGGTGGGGGTGCTGCCACCCATCATCACCACCGTTCCTCCCTGCAGCCCATTGGCCAGAACTTGAGTGTGTGGTCTCAAAGGAGGCTGGGAATGTGGTCTGTGTTCTGGGAGGCTTTGTGCCCATGCCCAACTAAACCTGGAAAGGATGGCAGATTTGGGCACACGTGGCAGTTTCTGTCACAGTTAGCATTGTTTCCCCCAACAGAATGAAAACCTAGACTTGTATTCTTTAACAAAAAATAGCCTCTGTAGCGCAGTGCTGGGTACAGGCAGGTCTGTGTGTAGTCAGTTCTTTAATGAATGGGATGAGATCAGTAACGAAGCTCCTGTGTTTCTGCACATGTAGCTGATGGACTCAGTGACGTGCTGAGGGGAGAATGAAGGTTCACAGTTGTGGCAGGAATGTTAAATTCAAAGAAGTAACACTGGACATTTAGTGAAGCCACTGTGCTGTCCCAGGTGTGTGTGCACGTGTACTGGTGTGTGCAAACTGTTTCTGATGTAAGAAAAGCTCTGCTAAGGTTTATAGTATACCAGCTCGAGTCCCTGCAGTTGCAGTCTTTAGGCCTCTTGGTAAACGAGCACTTTAAAATACAGCCCCCCCTCCCCAGTTTGCAAACCTTTAATAATTAGAGGTACAGCAGGTTAAGTGTGATAACTTTTATACGTTCAATATCTGATACTTCTTTTTCATAAATAATAATGTCTGGTTTTGGCTTTCTGATGCAAATGTAACTAACTTGTTTGAAATTCAATGAGGAGGGAAAGTAGGAGATACTATGTTCAGAAAATGAAGTTTTAAAACAAGGTTTAGGATGGCATCCAGATTGCAGCAGGAAATTCAGACTTTGGTCTGAGCCTGACCTTAACCCGTGACCAGTGGCATCTAAATGTGTTTATTTTTACAGTAGCCTTAATTTGGGGCTTGTAAGTTTGTTGGTTTGTTTTTCTCATTCAGTTTTGGGGAACTTGAAGCAATATTTTAATTATAGTATTTCTAAGTTTCGTGGCATGAAGATCAGCAAATTTTGGGTTTTTTTTGGCTATAATATGTTATTTTACTCTCAGAAATTTGTGATCTTTGTGTCTAACGATGCTTTTAAAAAACTCCCTTTCTGCAGTGCTGGGATTCTCAGACCAGCTTCACTCGTCTCCCCCCCTCCCCCCCCGCCTTCTTTTAAAAAAACATGTTCTCTGAGAAATGTTGCCTCATATTAGACAAAGCATGCAGTTACTGGAAATGTTTTCTATCAGTTCTGTTCACATGCATTAATTTCAGTCCACAGATTTTTTTCTTAGCTTTGCTAACAATTACATTTCACAGTCACATTGACTTTGAACTAAGTTGTTCCCGTTCATTTACTCGGCACGGTGACCTGCCTGTACCCAGCCTGTGCTGCAGAGGCTGTTGGCACTGAGTTTTATCACCCTCAGCTCTGCTTTTTGATGAGTCCTTCCTTATAGCGGGAGTGATGAGTGAATGATGGACGAAGGAACAGGAAAGCAAGTGTTCAGCTCGAGTCTCTGCCTTATCTCGGCAGCCTGCTCCCTCCAGTGGAAGCTCTAACGCACACTTTTTTTTTTTTTTTAATATATATATTGATTTCAGAGAGAGGAAAGGAGAGAGAGGTAGAAACATCAATGATGAGAGAGTCATTGATCCAGCCCGAAACCCAGGCATGTGCCTTGANGGGCAACATCAGTGAGGAGAGAGTTGTCATTGATCGGCTGCCTCCCGCATGCCCTCAGCTGGGGATGAGCCTGCGACCTGGGCATGAGCTCTGACTAGGGAATCGAACTGCAATCTCCTGGATCCTAGGTCGATGCTCAACCACTGAGCCACGCGTGGCCGGGCTCTAACGCACACTTCTGCCTTTTTCTTTTTTCTGTAACAATTTCTGTTTCTATTAGGAAAAGGGAGTTATTGAAAATAGTAGTTGATACCCAAGTCATAAGTCATAGTCCACCTTGGAACACCTATGAGGTGCACACCTTTCCCAGAGCATGCACCCCCCTTTAAAGCTGCACTCCTCTTGTCTGGTTCCTACTTTTTGTACTTGTGTGGGTAGAGCCAGGAACTGCAGGTGTTCAGTTAACTTAGAGATGGTGAGAAGTTGGCAGGATTACATTTAACTGTGCTCGACACACATCTGTACTTTTCACATTCTTCCACTAAACTGTGCTTTTTAAGAGCAAGGGCCCCCACACCTCCTCTAGTGCACATGTACCTGTTGCTAACCTGTTGGAAACGTGCACTCCTGCGGCCGCTTCAGAGGCACAGAGGAGGCGAAGTGGCGTGGCCAGACCCCTGCCCTGCTCTCTTGTGTGTAGTAATAATTTGGGATCAGAAGTTTATTTGGGGGGATGTTTCTCTTCTTTAAAAAAAAGTTTAAAAATGACTCTATTGGATAGATAACTCTAGGCCAAGTTTAAGTAAAAACTATCATATTTTATGATCCTGCTGAACATTGGTGTCTTAGACACCCTAAATTTGGCCTGTTACAGAACTAAGCCAATTGTTACATATAACAGATTGTTCTTTGTTAATCTCAGGATCACCTGCTGTTACCAGCGACCACCCATAACAAGACCACGAGACCAAAGATGTCCATTGTGTTGCCAGCAGTAAACATCAATGGTAAGGGCAAGTTTTGGTTTATCAACGAGATTGGTTTGTTTAACTACGTGCTTTGTTTAACCACGATTCTCTGGATTAACTAAAAGAAATTTAAAACGTTTGGTTGATCAGGTATATATCCATGCATTAATTTCAAAACATTTCCTACTACTTTCACAAAATATTATTAAAAATTTTTTATATTGTTTAAAAATGAAAAAATTTATAGTTACTTTTTAAATTACTGTATTTTAAAAGAAAAATTTATTCTATTTGTCAAATTGGAAAAGTCAGCATCTTGACTGCCCTGACCTTGTTGCCGCAACCTTTCTGGTTTGCAGGCTGAGAGGCCTATACCAGAGGCTTGTCAGTTGGCTCTGGAACTCAGAGCAGTGTCCTCTGTTACATAAGTGGTGATAGGACTCCCAGACCACACCTCAGAAGCCTTGTTATAGTTAAGCCATAATACTGATGAATTTGATATTGATAATGTTATATATTGCATTTTGTTCTCTAGGGCTGGATATTAAATAAAACATGTAGAATGTAACACTTAAGACTGTCCAGAGATGTTAGGGGAGAGAGTACTTGCTTCTTATACTTGAGAAGGAGAAGTATGGCACAGAGCTCTACTGAGGGAGGTCCTGTAGGACCATACAGAGTCCAGGGGGAGTTCAGTGAAGGAGCAGTTACTTCAAACTGGGCTCTCCATGGAAAAGAGAAGTGTCTTCCTCCCAATGCCAGCGCATGTTGTGAACGAGGAGAGGGCATTGCTGACTGACTGCTTCTCTGACACCTCATGCTGGGCTCTAACGACAGCCGGACTGGCCCTGCCGCAGGCCTGGGTGCCGGTGTAGCAGGGCCACCAGTTACCTCTCTGTCTAGTCTCAGTAGGGTGAGAAGGAGAGCCCTTGAACCAGCCTGCAGCTGACCCAGCCCACATTCTTCTTGGTGCTCCCAACTAACCATCAAATACAGCTATAAAACTAGATAATGTCCAGTAAACTTCAGTCTTAGCGAACACGTATTAGACATGCACGAAGGCTGTCCATGTTCAGTGAGCTGTAAACGACTCAACAACAACAACACGGAACGTGGAGGAGCTCAGCTTCCTTCAGCACAGACGCAGCCCCGAGCCCTGTCCTCTGGTTCCAAGACAGTGTGTCCAGAGCGCAGTGTTTCTCGCTCCAAGAGCATGTTCAGGAAACACCCACCAGTCTCTCCCCATAGGTGCCTGGGCTTCTCTGTTGGGGCCAGAGTAGGTTTAACTTCTGGCAGCTTATGCTCAGAAAGGCTGCTGTCTTCATTTTCAGCGAGGCAGAGCCCATGTGGCTCTGCTGTGCTGCTCCTCGGTCCTCATCTAGAAGAGGGCCCGGTTATCGCAATTTGCTCTCCACTTCCGTTAAGCCAAAAACAGTAAGATGCTGTTGGACTCTGTTTATCTTGGCCAGGGGACTAAATTTTGAAAATGAACCTTTCATGGATTTGAAAAATGCAATCTCTTGTGAATCATTTTCTTTTTAATCTAATTTGGATTCCTTTGTAAATAGATTTCTTTTTGTTTTTTAGAATATAGTAAACTATTAGGAAAGTTAAGATTCAAATTCAGGAATGTCCATCCTCAGGCCCTTTCCCAACACCCCCCACCTTGCTCTGACTGAGGCTGCTTCTCACTTAGAGCCTGACTCCTCCCCTCCCCCGCCCGGAGGCTCCCTGGGACCTCAGGGGGTGGGGAGAGGACAGTGTCCCTGCCCCACTGCAGCCTCAGGTTGTCTCCCCTCCCTCTCCTACAGCCTCCCTCACGTCCTTCAAGTGTGTGACTTACTGCTGCACCTTCCTGGTTGCTGTGTTCTGCCCCCACCCCGACCCAACCCGACTCCATACAGCTTTGACAGCTCTGTGCCATCAGCATCCTTGTGGAGGACGAGACTTTCACTCTGCACCAGCTCAGCCTCGGTCCACACAGTCACCCACAGTAACTCAGGCCTCTGAAATCTCCTCAGGCACCCACTTTGTTCCTTCTCTCTCACTGTCACCACTTGCCACTCCTGACCTCGAGACCCCCGTCCTCTGACACTGCCACCTTTTCTGTCCATCACACCCTCAGTGGCCATGTGCACCTCTTTACCTTGCTATATTTCATGTCCCTCCTACAACCCCCCCACTACCCACAACTCCTTTTGTCTTAGGTCCCACTTGTCTATAAAAATCTCACAGGAGCCGTCCTCTTTCTGCAGCTGGAAATTGCTGGAAATAGTGTTGTTAGGACTTGTAGTCACTTTTGGTTCATGACCATTAATTCCAAGCAGCATTCAGTCCTACCCTTAAACCCCTTCCTTCTCTCCTCACCCCCCACCCCCCCCCG